CTGCCAAGGAGAGAAACAGAATCTTCTGGTAAATCAGTCAAAATCATTTGTTTCAAAAGCCATGAAAGACACCACATTTTCTGGTTTATTCTGTATCTTGATGTAGGGCAACCTTAGGTTTTATTCTACACATGTGGTTTCTGGGCTGCCAGAAAGCTGGTTTGCAAAAGCTCTTGGAAAATTAAAGCCATTACTGAATAAACTGATTTAACCAGATGACAAGAGATATAATTGAAAGGGGTTTAAAGTAATAGACTCACATTATATGCACAGTGAATATGAAAACTATAGGTAATACATTTTCATAAGCACATTTGTTCTCCCACAGCAGTATATGGAGTTTGAAAATTAGTTTAAAGACATTCAGGAATGCGTAAGCAGCTAGGGTTTTTTATCAAAAACAATAACATGATTGTACAAAGTTTTGCCTTCCCCCAGAGGAACTGCAGTTTAAATCATCAAGAAAGAGTGTAAAAATCAAATCACAGAAAAAAAACCCTATTCACTGTTCAGGAATAAAGTCTCAAATCACTCTAAAAACTGGATGGTGTTGAAGTGAAACTCTTGGCGTGTGATAGTGCTAAACCAGATGTTATTTTGTAAAAACTGGATTGTAGTTTCAATATTTAAATGGAGTGAGTAGGCATGATTTTGCAGTTTTAGATTGTTAGACATTTTAGGTTTTGCGTTCTGAGATGTTCCTGAAGTACCAATTTATTTTGTTCCTTTGATTTTACCTGTCAAGTACTTGTGTTGGAACTGAATCCACAGTGATATCCTCTTGTCTGGAGTGTGCAAAGTTTCTATAATGAAAATGGTCATCAGGTTTGGTAAAAAAAAAAGTGGAAATAGTAAAAATATAACACAAAATGCAATCTCCCTCTCTTGCAATATTGACACTATACATTTTTTCTAAAACCTTTTGGATAATTAGGTGTTTAAACTATTATAATATAAATGTAATATTCTGTAATACTGTTATATATAATATTGTATGAAATATAGAAAAGTTAACTTTCTTTGGATTTACTACTGTAAGTATAAAACAGAATACCCATGAGAACTGACAGAAATAGACTACGATACTATATATCAGGGTTAGCTGTGTAAATTTCTTTTTAGATTTTAAGTATGTCATTTTTCATGCGGAAGATCATTTCCAGTTAAAAACAATGATACACAAGGCTTGTAGTCTTTTGAAAATCACAATACTAAAGAAAGGTATCCTCTCTTAGCTTTAAATGGTCCTTGTTAAATAAAGCCTGACAGAAAACTGTAGAAACACATGAATACCCACAGTAAATCTAAAATTTAGCACTCAGTACCCATGTAAGGTATGAGTCCTAGGATAACTATTTGAAGTGAGCCCAAATGTTCCCATTTCAACCTTTAAAAGGCACCAGTTCAGTTATGTTACTAGCTGCATGGCATACTTGCTCTGTCTTTGTCTCTTCTCCGTCTATCTAACTTTCTGAAGCCTGCTGCTCGGCCTCTTGTCAACCTGTTATAAATTGTGGAGATTAAAAGCAGAATGTTTGTGTGCTGGGCTCCATATAAGGAGACGTTTCAAACTTGTTTTCCCAAAGCATTTCCAACAAGTTTGATATGAGCCCAGCAACATTTCTAAGAGCATACATTGTCATAGATTACTCCAGAGTGACAGGAGGGATAATGTGTTCCCTCTAACCAACGAATGATATACTATCTTTATAGCTTCGTTTTGCACAGGTTTCTTGGAAAATTAAAATCATTACTGCTCAACATCCCCAGCTAGCCTGGCAGTTGAAGTTTTCAGATTTTGTAGACATCTACAGCCTAGAGCCTGTTTCAGTTTGTTTTCCGAAACACAGCTGCTTCTGTCCTCTAATTACTGTGGTATGTGACATAACTTATTTTCTGAATGTATGCAGGAGATTGATTTTTTGGTAATCATATAACATCAGAACACAGAATGGAATTAGAATCTTGTCGAAGAGTGAAAATCGAAAATACACAAGAGTACAGTGATAAATATGGTATTAAACTGAAGAGTTCAATGGGTGGAGGCATTTATTCTATGCTGGTCCAGTGGTTTGATTAACTGAGCTCTAGCCTAATATCATGCATTGTTGATTCTTTTTAACTGTCCCTTTTTGTCTGACAAGTATTTATGTGGGATGTTCTATGTTAGTCAAGAGAACTGAAATATGTCCTATTTTATAGAGTCATTTCTAGCCATGTCGCCATGCAGTCTACAGAAGATTATTATCTGATGAAAAGTCAACGCTGTATAACATGACACTTACACTTTCCGTCCAGAAACACTTAAATAAATGGTTTGTCCATTTTGTAGGGCATAGTTTTATTGCTGGGAATGCAAGTTATTAATATCATACTTAATTACCAGTAATAGTAAAATAAATGTCATGTGTAGTTTTGCCTGATGTTTGGACTACGATTGTACATAATGATCTTCACATCTTATTTGATTAAGTATAGCTTGAGGTCTTGTGCCAATAAATCATTCCTCTAAGTATAGGTCATATTGACCTACTTTATGAAGGTTTGAAGTCTTATTGGCTGAACAGTCTTTTGCATTGATTTAAAATTACATGTCCCCATTTGACAATGTGTTTGTGTGTGCTTTGTCTGTAGGCTTTTTTTTATACCAAATTCCCTTCCACACTTCCATGCATCCCTGCACACCTATTAGGGGGAAAGAGGCATATACAGTATAATGACATTAAGTGAAGACTTCTAGAAAATATCAATCACCGGTTCCCTTTTGATCTTCACACTGCCACCAGGAATCAGAACATTTCCCTTAGCAGAAGCATGTCTGATTATATTTTTGTTCCCCTTTTCTGCTTTTAACAAAATGTTGTTGTTTGACGAAATGCCAACAATAAAGAGGAGAAAAAATGTTACGTCCATTTACTTTGTTTATTCTAAGTAGATCAGTGATCCAGAAATTTCACCAAATTTTTTAAACTGTCAGCTTCTAAAATGAGGTAGATATGTTTGTTCTGGACATCTAAAACTCTTAATGTAAGGAATAGTGTTCTGCCTATGCTTCTTGTTGATTTATACCGGAGTGTGCCTTGTTTTATTGTTGAGCCTGTAGTAGTCCATTACATTGACTGTCAATATTGCTGAAAGGGTTTTGAATTCTTGTATCAGGTTACCATTTTTTTTATTACAAGGGAGCAACAACAAAGACCAATTGGCCAAACGGGACCAAAGTGCAATAAGAGCAAAAGGTAAATATAGAAAGAGACCATAAAGTTTCCCTTCTCACAGTATGAGAATCCTTTGCGAACAGAACTAACTGTAAGTAAATGTTTTAACAAAAGAGACATTTTTTTAAATGACCATTTAGGAGGTTGCTTTGAAGCCTAGAGAGCTATTAACTGAGCAGGCAGTGTAGGTCAGCAGCGTCTTTGCTGAAAGGTTTTCCAAAATGTGACCAGCACTCCTAAGGCCAATTTTAGCTCAAATTTTGCTCAAAGGTTCCTTATCCCTCTTTTCGTCTTTAGATGGAATCCCACATAAGATTAAAATTAGGATTTACTTTTATTGAGATGTTCTGAGGGTAGGTACATATATAATGCAAATTGTATAAGAAGTATTTTGGGGGGAATTGTTAAACCACCATCCTGCAATGTAGTTCACTAACATGAAAGTTTAGCTTCAAACTCAAGAAAAGCAGACTACAATAAACGTGAAAGCAAATTGCAAAAAGTACAACTGTAATCTTTCATTATTAAAATTATGAATTAATCGTTAATTTTAAACTTTTCAAATTCATAAATTCCTGCAGATATTTTTGTGGCTTTCTGTTTATACACTGTTGTCTCAAATTCATTTCAAATCTTGGCTTGTCTGAAGTGCTGAAAATAAATGCTTTTGTCTTAAAAAAATAAAATAAATCTGTTAAAACAAGATTCTCTGTTTTTTATTGTAATGAGTTATGATTAATTAAAGTGAGGTATAGGTCTCTGCGTCTAATTGCAAATGTCTTTAATTTTCTGGTTCATTACATTTCAGATAAAATGTTTCTGCTGTTTAATCTAGCTTGTGCTGAAGCAACATCGCTTTTATATTTTTAAGTTAATACTACTCTATTAATGGATACAATTTGCAGATGATGCTAAAATAGGAGGATTAGCATACACTGATGGAGCTGCAAAGAAAATTCAAATTGACTTTCAAAATGACAGATTTCAAGACAGGTCAAACACTTAACAAATGACATTTAAAGTAGAGACATGCAGGTGTTGCATGCAGGTAGCAGAAAAATGATAGAAGATGCCCTATAAGATGGGAAGCACTGAGCTTGAAAAATGTTTTTGGGTAAACAACGTATTGAAGCAAAGGAAAAAGACATATCATGCTAGGACCTATACTTAAATGAACAGAATTTAATATAGTCTTTGTTAAAATTGTAGAATACACTAGTGCTTCAGTTTACACATTGTGTACACCATGTTGCAAAACCATTACACTTATGATTCAAATATTCAAGGTCAGCCCATTGGGCAGCGCAAGGGCATAAAAACTGAGAAAGGAGACACTTTTTTACACAAAAAGTTTTCTTTGGGAATGTATATAAAGCTGTGAATCCAGGACTCTTGAACACATTAACCAGATGTTTCAATTACAAGGAATTTAACTTAAAGACACAGAGGTATTTAATAATGTCCTCATTGAATGGCTTGGAAACAAGTGTTTGAGTGACAAGGTCAGTGGGAACTGCTGGAATCTGTCCGTTTATTTCAAATCATTGCGGGTTTTTTCCTCTTAATAAACTTTGGACATTGGTGTCACACGTGAAGCACATTCCTATGTTTTGTCAATTGCATGCAGTGCATGTGCCAGTCCTGTGGTTTTATTATCAAGAGAATGAAAGGGAAGCTCAAAGGCGAAGGTAGTGAAAATGAACACTGACCACAGGTAGAGTCACTGATGTCTCACTGATGGCACCTAAAGGGCCCTCCTTGTTCTGTCTCACCTTCATGCAGATTGAGCCATGTCTCATCAACCATGGAATCAACCCCAAGCTGACGGTGAGGAATACGGGCATGTGACAGCAAGGATGGAAACCACTCCTTCATTTGGCACCCCCAGCATCTCTGTGTCCCAGCAGCAAGCGCCAAAGAAGTTTGCACCTGTTGTGGCCCCCAAGCCGAAGTTCAATCCCTACAAGCAACTAGGAGAAGCTGCACACAGTGGGGCTGGAGGTAGGATTTGTCATTATTTCAAGTTCAGCAGCTCTTCGTGCAACGCTGTCGCATTCGCTGGCATCCCGGTCTTCCCTAAGACAGATCCTTAGTTTTATTATACTTAAATCTCTGTTCAAAATCTGATGCTGGAGCATTGTAAAGTCCCAGGATTATGTATTATGTTCTACTAGTATTTATAACGTGTTCAGTTTAACTTTTTCAGAGACACTAACTTTTACTATTTGAACCTGCAGCATGTTTACAGATTTTGTAATGCTACACATGCTTTATTCCAGATAGTATAGTTGACGAAATGTAAATCTTATCTCAGTGTTCCCATGGATTTTAGTGTCTTTTTATTAAGCTGTAGCAGGACTTCTTTTTTACTGTTTGGAAGAAGTCATTATGTATGTTCTCAGTGAATAGTCTGTCACAGAAAAGAAGGGGGTGGGACTGAAGTGAATAATGAGAGGCCTGGTCATTAAAAAAAGTGTTGTCTGCATAAGTCAAGAACATTTTTTAGGGGGTTGAAATAACAGAGGTAAAAAAAAAAAAATCTCGTTATTGTTCATGTACATTATTAACATTTCCTTTTCCTAGACAGTTTCCAAATAACTTTGTATGCACGGGTGTGCGTTTGCCATCGTTGCAGGGTGAGCATAAGGAAATAAGCCTGGTCAGCTGTGAAGTCCTGGGCTTGTTCCATGCTTCACAGTTCACATAATGGTCACATTCATCGGTGGCTTTGGAAAGCACATTCTGCCAGTCCAAACCTGAGTATTCAGTGCACTGGAGGTTTTCAGCCCTGATGGAGCTGCCAGTTGCTTTGAACACGACAGGCCCACAGAGTGAACCTCCTGTTGAATATTCATAAACTGACAATTGTGAAACTGCACGGGCTGGGGATGCTGGCGAGCCGTATTCAAGGACCTACAGTATATAAAAGATGACATGTACACGGTGTACAACAAACATTGCATACTGTAATAACTGTATCGTATGCAAACACTGTAAACACCCTTGTTTGCATTACTGTAATGATGTTCCCTTGGCATACTTAGACACACACAGACGAGGAACCGTTTGATGTTTTCGTGTTTTTTTCTCAGTTTTTTTTATCTTACAGCATAATGTAAATTATGTTAATGATGAAAATATAAGATATCTTTTGTATCTACTGAGATAGTCATCAGACATCTCCGTGGAATAAAAAGAAACACACGTCATTCTCCTCTAAATTCCCTGTCTGCTGACTGCTAGACAGGTGTGGGAAGATTTCCATCAGTACTGTGCACTGCATGGGAAGTGTTGGAGACCTGCGAAAACTGTGCCACACCCTTTCCTGGTTTTATCAGGTCCTTGTATGATTCCCTCAAGCTGAAGTTCCAGACAGACTGGTCTTTTTTCAAATATATTAAAGAAAGAGAATGAAGCAAATACAGTATATCGTTTTAGCATATTACAGGCCAAAGTGATGTGTTTGCTTTTTGAATATGCTCAGACTACCATTGCAATTAAATGCAGTGTCTGTTAGAACTTTTATTCATCCTCCCCCTTATAGCTAGTGATGTTAGACATATTCTAAAGGTTAAATACTTCCTTTAGAGGATTTTGTTTATAAATGGTAAAATGTTGTCCTTCATCAAATAAAAATAATCATAAAATGTTAAACACTCATTAACGGTAAATTAAATGTATAGTGTGCTATCAGCAAACTGCAGTGCATAGTGGACTAATTAAAAGCTTACTGTTAAAACAGTGGTCTTACTTGTATTACAAGGGCATTTAAGCTGGCTTTGACTCAGTACGGTAAGGTCATATAGAAGCTACATGAGATAAAAACATTACAAATAGACTTAGATTATTTTCTTTAGCTTTGATATAGTCCTTAATATTAGAGGTTTTCTTGACAAAGTGTATATAGAAGAAGCTTCTCCAAACTAATGCTATTAGTTCTTTAGCGATTTTTTATCAGTAAATTCCTTTTTAAAATTATTCGGAATTTGTTGCAGTAATAAAAGTTTCTCCTCTTTTTTCTCTAATTGGCTGATAGCAGCTCTATTAGATACTGGTTTCCATAGTTACAGTGTGGTTTTTCAAGCCTTAAAAGGCTACTGATTAGAAATGACTTGAACTTTATCTTTATGTTAAAATGTAGTATTAATTAAATAGCACTATTTTGGCACATTGCATAGCGTTAAAAGATAATTTAAACTCTAAAGGGGTTTTGTGCCTGCAGCTTCAGGATCTCTTTGATGGTGAATGGAAAAAAAATCTTCTTCTTGGTTCATCATGTCCAATCAAATAGTGCTGTTAGATTTAAATAAGACCTGACACAAATAAGAGAACCTTCTGATGAGTTTACTTCACTTTTTGGATGATGTGTGAAAATGAATATGTTCTTCAAGTAAGTACAAGAAGTAAAAACAAGCTTTTTAAAGAATTTTGCATATTCCTTAGATGAATAGCCGAGACAAAAACCTGTGTTTTCAGCAGGAGCTGTTGTTTGCAGACCACGGTATCAAAGATTCAGCAGCATTGAATATCTCGTATAGAAAAGAAAAAAAAAACTTTTGAAAGAGCTTGAAAGTAATGTTTATTAGCACAGTTTTCAATTAGAACTGTTTAAATGGATGGCAAGATGAAATATGCTTGTGTTGTCAGGTGATTGTTAAAAGGGCAATGTGAAAATATGCCTCACAGAAAAGCAATTGTCGGTCTAAAGCTCTCAGCTCCTGCCTGCCGCCAGGAGAATCTAAAGAACAAAAAAGAGCTGAGCTATGTGTTTTCTTCTCAAAGTAATGTAGGTCAGGGTCTTTTAAGGAGACATATTAAATGTGTATAACCCGAAAGGGACTTCTGTTTTCTATAAACTGTATGGACAAGGACTACAAGTCTGTTCTACTTCAGTCTTGCTTTAAAGATTTATTCCATAATTTATACAGGGAAATATTTCATTTCCTTTTAGTTTTCTAAGTGTGTAATTTAAAGTTTGTATTTAGTTCTGATATTACAGCAAATAAGGAAATGCTTAAATTGAAAAGTGTATTCCTTTGCATATCTTTTCTTAATTGCATTTATTTAAATGCTGTTGAGTGTGTGTGATACTCTGTAACTTTCAATCTACCTTTTTTTAGTTTATTTTTTACAAGGTAGCAGAAAGGCCTTTTGCCAGAAATGTTGCTGTTACATTCTTAATGTGTAACCTTGCGTTATTCATAGACGGGGCAGCAGTGTATTTTTCTTTTGTAATCCTTATTTTTTTAATCCTTCCAAATGTTTATGTGTGAGTTATTTATTTAAAACAGTGTCTTGTCATTTTGATCAGAAAACATAACAGCGGGGGTTCTCATTTAAAGAGATGGTTTGTCTATACTGCCTGTTTAAAATGACATGACATCTTCTTTTACCTAATTCATAAAACTACTGACTGGATAAATAATGTGATTGTTTAGATGTGCCAGCTTTCTAAGAGTAATGGTAAATTAGCAGCTAGTGTCAAAGCAGACAAGAAACAGTCAAAACACCCCTATGTGCTGTACCTTAGTTATTCCCATGAAAACTGGAATAAGTCCCATGGAGGGTATGCCTTCACAGAAACTGAAATAATGGAAGCTATACAAAATAGGTGTTAGGAGGGTATTGCACTTTATTAAAAAATACTTTTGTGATGTGCTTCCTTAAATAAATCAATATTCATAAATTGCTGAACAGTTTCTATAAAGATATAGGAAGGTATTACAGCAGTGTTTCATTGCTGTTGAACCCATGAGGTTGTCAAGGCAAGCTCCAAATGTATCTCCTGAGAGCCTCCAAAACTAAAACTTTGCCAGCAAGAGCGTCTAATGTTTACATTATCTGAAGTTGCTGTCTGTGCATTATTTGTTAATTATAAATGATTGCCCAGCTCCTGCCTTTAATATATTAAACTGTTTAGAGGATACAAGCTTACATACAGCTTTGTTTGCATTACTGTATGTGACATTCAGTCAAAGACTTGTGTAAAATCTTATTAAATCAACCAGTATAAAGTTTTATACTGTAGGTATAAACCTGAGCGCTCTACAAAACATAACATGAATAACATTAATAATAATAATAATCACTATATATGACTGCTTAACAAGAAAGGTAAAATGCAACAAATTGCCACAGAAATCACATTATTAGTTGTGAATCAGGGGATAGGGATTCATTAATCAACTGTAATATGCAATATTCTATAAAATACACTTACTTTTTCTTTAACGTGATACAAATGGTTTCCCCTCTCCTTAGTTATTACTCTTTATTGCTAGTTTAAATGCTATACCTGGGCTTTGTAAAAAACAATTTGGAAGAATTTTAAATTAGTTTTACTTTATGTCTAAAGAGCCAGGGAAATATATCTCACCTTCTATTTAAAGCATGGTATCCTGTACTGGTTGGTATTCATACCATTCAGTAAGATGATACCAGATTCTTAAATTTGCTTTCCTGGACATTACATGATAAGATGTTCAAAACAACCAGCAGAATGCTTCATGTACTTTTTATCATGTCTCTATAGGATTGTATGGATATAATATAACACCACACCTTGAAGGATAGTAATGAAGGAACATTCACTTTTATTATCAGTCTAATTTTGTTCCATTTCTTTGGAATAATTAGCTCTCATTATTTCTAAGTAGAGATTTTATATTACGTTTAATGGCACACCAAATTAGTTTTCCCTTTTATTGGTGTGTAATGAAAAACTGTCATTTTACTATGGATCATGTTGCGAATCACCTGTGTCAGTCTCCTGGGAAACATGTGATGTTTGTTACTGCTAAAACTGAATCTTGAGGTCCCCCTCCAATTTCTGGGATTTTTCCATTTTCTAGCCATAGCTTTGTTTACACGGGATCTAGCTTTTTCAAGAATTTAATCGCTTTATTTATCAGTGGAAAAGAAACAAATCACTCCAGAGGACAACTGCAGCTTTGATTTAACGAGAATCCTATTCCCTGCCCTGGATTGGCTCCAAGAGCCTA